CCAGGAGTCTGACGGGGGTCTGTATATTTGCATGAACACGTTCCTCGGCTTTGGGAAGCAATACGTGGAGAAACACTATCAGAAGACAGGCCAGCGAGTATATCTGCACCTCAAGAGAACGCGCAAACTGGTAAGAAGGGAACAGTGGGTACTAAAAAACACGTCCCCCAACCTGCTCTGAGGCTGAAAGGAGAGAGCCATCTCTGCATTCATTCACACCTGGGTTCCCCATCCCCCACATCGTAAACATAAGCTGTTGTTTCTCCTCATGGGACCCTAATCCTACATTTCTGTTTCATCTGAGTCATTGTATTGGCAGCCTGCACTCTTTTTCTGTTGTCACTCTTCCTGCAGTCTCTAGTCCAGTTCCACAGTGGCTTAGCTCCTGGGCTTTGGGCTTCTCTTGGAGCGCTTGGTCATTTAACTTTGTTTCCTTCTTTCTCATTTTTGAAACAGAAAGAAGAAGATGCCAACTCTACTGCTGGTGACCCTCCAAGGAAAAAGCCCACCCGTCTGGCTATTGGTAAGAAAACAGCTCTTTGTACCGTAGTACTAGATCAGGCTAATTCCACTGCTGTACTAGGTCAGTCTTCTGGAGCTGTCTAGCCAAGTACCTTCTGTTGCCTTTCCTGTTACCTCTGTTGGTTCAAGTCAGTCATGTCCTTCAATGTTGTGCCCATCTGTCTGGGAGTAACCAGGAAGGACAGCTGTTTCAAATTCTACTTCTTCTCTCTATTCAGATTTGCATAAGTTCTCTGCTGACAGGTAGATTTTTGCATTCTCTGTAAAATCCACAAATGAACAATGATAGGCAAGCTCCACATTGAATTTTTCTGGCTAAAATGTTCTTTACGAGTTGAGGAGCCTGGGACTTGAAAAAGTCTAAATGCTGAAACATAAAAATGAGCTGCGTTTGAATGACAGAACTGTGTATTGCTATGTTTGCATTTGCTATGGAACAGCTAGACATTTATGCACAGTGTGGAAAGAACTTTGCATATAGTACTCCTACCAAGACAACAGTCAAAATGCTGCTTGTTTAAAATGGGATTGAAACAGAGCCTCTTGCACCACAGTGCAGACATGTGATGCTGAAGTTACTCCTTGGTCTTATAACATAGACCACTCACTCGAGTGAAATGCATAACAGTACTGAACTTATTTTCCTTGTCCCTTAAACATTCCTTTTTATGTAGTGGAAGGTAGGACCTGAGTAAAGGTATATTTATGTCAGGAGTGATTTCTTTGGATGAGAGGATGGCTCTTAGAGGTGTTAGGCAGTCAGGCTGTTTTCAGCTGGTGGTCTTTTCTGGAGCCACTGCTAGGAGCAACGTCTTGAGAGTCAAAGCAAGTCTTTGTAGACAACATTAGTTTTTGATGTTCCAACCGCACAGAATGAACCATTTTGTTGAGAGAAGAGTCCAACAGGCCTGGTTTATCTGCTTTTCCCTTAATAAAGGAAATTAATTTACAAAAAATTGTCAGGGAGTTAGGGTGATTGGGGAACGGGGGGGTGAAATGTCGTCTTCTCCCTGTGACCATTTAAAATAAGAGACCTCAAACACAAGAGAACCAAGAAATGCCAAAGTAATGTGACATTTCTTTCACAACACACTCTTACTGACTTAACAACCCTCCAGAAGCAGAGTTATGTGGAACTCACAGAATTGGGTCGTGTGTTCTTCCCATAGCAGACATCACCAGTTTGTATTCAGCCTATGCTGCAAAGTTATCCACAAAGCCCTCATGTCTGCTGACATTTCAAGAGGCAGAGAGAAGTTTGTGCAAGAAGTCATTCAAGCTGCATTTCTTGTTTTGGCTAAGTAGCTTGACCTTTTTCTTCCAACGAGAATATTCTAGTGGGTACTGTCCTCTCTGGCTTTCCAGTGTTTGAGGCTCTGGCATCTCCCTTTCTGGAAAAGAAAGGCAACGGAGGCAAAGTGTTTTGGAAGGGATGGTGCAGTGACTGAGATGCCGTCTCTTACATTTCAGAGGATTTCTTTCTGCATTCTCATCTACATCCAGTCATCTTCATGTGCAAGAGATGCTCCTTTGGGGTCCTGTTCTAGCTGTTAGCACTCTAGACCAGGGTTGTCAACTGGGGGTACCCGGGAAGGCCCCAGGGGGTACGTGGCAGCATGGGGGTTGCTGACTGCCAGCTGGACGGAAAGCCAGCAGTGCGGAGAAGCAGGGGTAGCTGGGAAGCGGGGGGCAGGACCACTGCCGCCATCCCTCAGTCTGTGGCACTGCGCACCACTTACCTGTGCCCAAGTATCTCTGCTTGTTGGCACTGCCGGCTTTGTGTGCGGCCAGCTCTCAGCGCCTCCTCCTCGTGCAGTGGTGGTGCAGGGAGCTCGCATGTGGTGGCCGCTCCCACCGCCATCTATACATTCAGCGCTGCCAGGGGGGAGGGGGTGTTGACAGCCAGCCGCACACAAAGCCGGTAGCACGGAGAAGCAGGGATACATGGGCGCAGGAAAGCGGCACCCGGCGGTGGCAGAGAGTGATGGATGGCAGCGGCAGTCCCACCCCCGCGTTGCCGATTCACAGGTACCCCTGCTTCTCCGTGCCACTGGCTTTGCGTCTGGGTGGCCATCAGCAAATTGCCCCATGCTCCCCAGCCAGCTGGCTGCGAAGTGTATAGATGGCGGTGGCAGCCAAATGCAAGCTCCCCACGCTGCTGGATTTGCGTCCAGCTGTCTGTCAGCAGCCCCTCCTCTGCTCCCTGGCCAGCTGTCAGCACTCCCCACCCTTGCTCTGTGTCCAGAAGGGGTACCCTACTTAAAAAAGGTTGAAAACCCCTGCTCTACACTCAAGAGGTTAATGTTAATCACAGTACTTACAGTGCCTTATGTTATATTTGTGTTGTCCAGCTTCTTTCTAAGTGGCTGGGGGCCAAAGGCCTCACATGCCATGTTAGTGGAGGCTGCATGCCCACAGGTTCCTCCAGGGCAAGCCACACTCCTAGCTACACACACCACCACCACATGCCTGCACAGTCCAAGACTTGCCTTCATCTCCCCTGCCTGTGCCATTATAGCTGTGCTATCATGCCCTGCCCCTGGGATAGGGGCAGGCAGCAAATGGTGGAGGAGGCAGTAGGGTGGGGATCACTGAGACTCCAGCTGCTATTGCAACCAGAGCCCTGAGGGGAGTGGTGGATGGGCAGGTGCCTGTGGGCTGCAACTTAACCCTTCCTAGACTAGGTGCAGCCCATGAGTCACCAGATGGACAGTCCTGTTTTATACGGTATCCAAGGCTGCAGTCTTGCCCCATGTAACCTAGCTGAATGAGTTTCAGAAATATAGATGCTTCAATTTAGTGCTTGTTCTCTAACTTCCTCCTTCCATAGGTGTTGAAGGTGGCTTTGACATCCCAGAGGAGAAGTTTGAATATGATGAAGATGTAAAAATAGTAATTTTCCCAGAGCACCTGGATATCCCCCGAGATGGCCTAGAAGGACTACCTGATATGGTCAGAGACAGGGTATGGTTTGTTTTAGTTTTTTTCCTCTTGCCCCCTTTTCTTTCTGCAGGAAACACATTACTCTGTGGATAAACCCTACAATTTTCTAAATGAAGTCCAGTAAAGTTGTAATAGAGGCTCAACACTGGAGTAGGTAAGAGAATGAGCAGGCTGGAATAAACTGTCTTTTCTTTTTCCGGATTCATACAGAGCCTTATATAGTCAGGTCAATGACTGGGGTCCTTAGGTGGCAGTAATGCAAATAACAAGCAGAACCATGTGGCGAACCTATATCTGGCATAGTTAGAGTATTGGGGGATGAGAGCTTACAGCTCCCCTTCACTCCTTTTTCCCCAATTCCAGATCGCAAGTGCTGTTGAAGCTATCCTGACAGCAGATTCCGCCTCACGGAAGCAGGAGGTGCAGGCTTGGGATGGGGAGGTCCGTCGCATCTCTAAACATGCTTTCTCCTTGCACCAGCTACAGAATGACATCCGCATTCCTCCATGGTGAGTCTAGCCTGAAGTTGTGTTGTATCACTGCATATCCTACACAGTCTGCGCAACATACCATCCTTTCCTAGCATGGCAGTGGTAGAGTTCCTCTATCAGTGAATGGGATTTCTTTTGTAGGGCCTCCTCCCATGCCCCTTCCTGATTTGGAATGTGACTTGTGGATCAAGCTATTAAGTTCTTAAACTTCGAGGGAAGGGGGTTAACTTCAACTGAGTGCTGCCATAAAAAGTTGCCAACCTCCTGGAGTAGCAGAGGAATGGGGATCCCAGCAGCATTTCTTTGTGGCATTGTGATTGGGCAGTAGGGGAGAGAGCCTGGGGAATAGGGAGTTAAAGGTATCTAATAGCTCCCTTTCTTGCTTCCCCTGTTGGCAGTGGCTGGAAGTGCAGCAAGTGCGACATGCGTGAGAACTTGTGGCTTAACATGACTGATGGAGCCATCCTTTGTGGCCGGCGATACTTTGATGGCAGTGGTGGCAACAATCATGCAGTCGAGCATTATCGAGAGACTGGCTACCCACTGGCTGTGAAACTGGGAACCATCACCCCTGATGGTGCTGGTAAGAAGCTAGTCTTGTGTTAAAAACCAGGCACTGTTCTTCCCTGAGAAAGCAAGTGGGGGAGGGTCTTGGGTGTTACACTATTATTCTTAATGCTGTAACCAAGGTATATAATGAACAGTTAACAACACCACCTCATGGGCTTTCCCTAGTCTGAGCCACTTCTGGAGGGTTTGAGGAACAAACTGCTCCTGCCCCCCTTGGAATCTGAGGGGCATTGGATTGGCTGACTGGATTTTTTTTCCTCTTCGGTTTAGAATTTGATATTCATTGCTTCAAAGGAATTTTGTCAGAGACCTAGAACAGATCAGTGGGGGCTTTGTACCTTGCTCCAGTGCCCTTCTTCTTTGCCCTAGAGAATTTTCTTTACTTACGAGTCCATGATGCTGCTGTCCTGAGGAAGAAAGAATAGGAACCTCACTGCTTGATAATTTGTTTATCAAACCTTTAAGCTCTGAGCATTGTTGCCCACCACACAGTAGCCTGCAGCTGGAGGGAAGTGGTTTTTAGACCTAGACAAGAGTAAGCCTTTTCCCTCCCCATCTACGTGTTCCTCACAGATGTCTACTCCTATGATGAGGATGACATGGTGCTGGATCCCAACCTGGCAGAGCACCTGGCTCACTTTGGGATTGACATGCTCAAGATGCAGAAGGTGAGGAGGAGGTCCCCTGATGATGTATTTTGAGATGCCGTAGCTGAACCCAAGCCTCTTGCATCCCTCACCCTGGTCAGGATGACAGTCCAGTTGCTGTGCAGTGTAGCCATCATTGGCTAGTCAGCCCCTGCCCTCCCATTAGGCTGAAGGCAGCCATGTATTCCTCTCATGTATCCCTATGTCCTCCATGTACTGCACTGGCTACTGCAATAGCAGCAGTGTGGGGCTGCTGTTATGACCCCTGGGGCTTCTATTTCCATAATGAGAGCAGTGGTTCTTCTCAGCTTTTCGCTTTGTGCAGTGGTTCCCACAGTTAAGTACCAGACTACGGGGAAATGATTCCCTAGCTTTTTTTTCTTGGCTTTAACTCGCCCCATTTCTCTTAATTACTTTCTCCTACTCTACTGAGCGAGATCCTCTCTCCTCAAGGTGTGTGTCCTTGTGACATTTGTAGCCTTTACAATCTTTTTCTAGAACTTGACTGTTCTGGCTCCTGAAATATGTCTGTGAGTTCTTCCTCTTCCATCTCGTCTGTCCACAGACAGACAAGACAATGACAGAACTGGAAATTGACATGAACCAGCGCATTGGGGAGTGGGAGCTGATCCAGGAGTCTGGAGTGCAGCTCAAACCTCTCTATGGCCCTGGTTACACTGGCATCCGCAACCTGGGCAACAGTTGCTACCTCAATTCCGTGATGCAGGTGCTGTTCAGTATCTCTGACTTCCAGAGAAAGTAAGTGAGCTGAGGCCTATTCTCTCTCATTTCTGACAGCTGCAAGGCAGGCGTGGGTAGGGGGAGATCAAGACTCAGTGGCCCAATTGTCCAAACTCTGCTGTAGGG